CCTTTGCATACCTATCTATTTTCGCCAGCTCGTCTGGGACAATACGCAAAGCAAACTCCATCTTATCAGTGAAGGCATTTGTGTATTCATCAATGGACATGGTGTCCTTCTTTAACGTTAGGAATTGGTTCTCTATCTCTAGCAGATCTTGGGCCGAGCAAAACTTCCGTTTGAATTATACCAAGAATTCTACCCAAGTCAGTTGCAGTGGCTCATTGGGGCTTATGGTCTCCCCCAGAGTGTTCCACCAGCGAACAACACTACATCTGAACTGACGTACTGCATATGTGGTTTGTAGCTTGCCCTTGCAACCACATGTTATGAATGCCAATTCCATCTCAGATATCCAATCCATAACTCCAATTGGGTTTTCTTTACCTGTGAAATTCGATGGCTTGCAAGTTAGAAAATCTTTGTACTTGCATCAATTTCTTTCGACCCCGTCGTCTTGGTTTATACTCCTAATCACTGGTCGATCAGCTTAACCAACAGTCCCACTGTGGTTCCCCCTTCCGAATATCCTCCATTTACTCCGGGCTCTTCAACTTTTATTGAAAGTTCTTCACGATTCTGCTGAAGCAGATGTCTAGTTTCTTCCATCTGACGATCCAACATCGTTTGAATCATCAATTGTACTCCAGCCATTGTCATCGGCTCAGGTGCTGCTGCTGCAACAACTACTTGCTCAATCACAGGCGCTTGATTCCTATTTTCGTCCGCGTTTCCAACTCCACTTTTTGTTCTCACCATTTTAGATCTATACACCGAATAAGGTGAATTTCGATCCTTAACCACGATAGATATTTAAATCATACTTATCACTCCGAAACGATTATATGTGAGTTCTAATACCGTATTCTTACACTTATAATCCTAAACACGTAAGGTTTCCATATTCGGTTGGCAACAAACCGTAGATCCGAACAAATAATATCACATATAGTAAACACAGCATTTAGCACATAAAAGCATTTTAGGCATCTTTCCTAAAATAAACTAGTGCTCGTGTCTAAAATATAACAGACACACGTCTCACAATCTTCACTTAGCATTCTAAGTTTAAGTCTAGAAATCCTACAAATTCCTAGTTCGCTTAAACTAATGCTCTGATACCAACTGTGACATCCCCAATTTCACGGCCAGAAAAGACCGGTTTGTTTATGCTTTGTTTTAAAATCAGAGTTATCTTTTAAAGAAAACAGTTGCAGAATTCGTCCTAAAAACAAAATATGATAACCATTTATCAAAACAATTCTCAAAGAGAATGTATTTTCATTAAATAATAAAACCTCGGGATGTCATGTTCCGATACAGACCAAAAGCATAAACAGTATTGTATAGACCTTACAACAGTTATTTATAACAACTGGTCTATAATCCGTAATCTCTCGTCAAGTCATCCGACTTATACTCTTGTGTCATTACCTGTAATACAAAGAAAACTGAGTGGATCAGGCTTGGGAACCTGGTGACCATATAGGGTTTTCAACCCATAATAATATAATAATTATATTTAATCATCAAACAATCAACCCAATTACCCGTCCCCATTATCTCCTTTTATTTCTTAAAGCTTTACCTTAAGAATCAATTATCCTTCATTCATTTATTGCTAAGTATAGACATAAGGAATTGACACAAAGTCCGTTACTGTCCACGGTCCATACATTTGGTGAATACGTAACTCAAACGTCTGACGAACACCTAGTTCTAAAATACCCAGTGAACACACTCAGTTCAACAACACCAAGTGAAAACATCTAGTTCAGAAATACCTAACAAACACATTGAGTTCTAAAATACTTAATGAACACATATAGTTCAAAATACCTAATGAACACATTGAGTTCAAGGACACCAAGTGAACACATATAGTTCAAAATACCTAATTAACACATTGAGTTCAAAAACACGAAATGAACACATAGAGTTCAAAAATACCTGATGAACACATTGAGTTCAAAACACCTAATGAACACTTAGAGTTCAAAAATACCAAATGAACACATTGAGTTCAAAACACCTACAGGTTACAAACCTGTTGACTTTTCGTTGGATTGTGTAGAACAGACTGTGGTCACCATCTCTATTCCACTATTTAACTAGAACATCAATATCATCCAGACTTCTTATCCTTTCGTCTCACATTAACTATTTCATCTAGCCATGTTCTACCCAACATATTTGTAGATATAAATTACATATACAGTTTTAATCATTTAAAAACTATATAAAACATCCATTCCACACCCATCTCATATAAACAAACAATATATAAACACATAGCACGTATTTCATAGCAAATACTTCGTATATATGTGTTAGAAGAAAGTAACTACACACTCACTTGATCAGAAGATGATCAGACATCACTACGGCTTGTAAAAGTAGTATTCTTCGGTAGATCTGGAAGATCTTCACAAAAACCGGCTTCTCGCGGGCAGAGCTTCGGCTCGGAAACTCTTTTCTTCTCGGGATCTTCGGGCTTCGGGACTTGCTTCGGGTCTCGGGATGATACCGGGGCTTCGGGGGTACTTCTTTGCACGTAAATCGATGTAATATGGGTGAGAGAGAAGAGTGTTGGCAACCACAAACGGCTGCCCCTTCAAATCAATTTATAGAGCTGTTTTCTCGATTTTCTCGTCGTGAACAGTGCTCCCACGTCGTGGGCATAAATGTAATTGCATGCGTCATCGGTCCACTTGCTCTGTTAGGCTCCAGAAGACGTCAGAAGTCAGTTCACGTCGTGAACACTGTTTTCACGTCGTGGTCCCTAACACAGCTTTGGGGTTCGCGCCCCAAACTTCAAAAAATCATAACTTTCGCATACGAGCTCCATTTTCGACGTTATTTTTTCCACGCGTAGGTAAGAAGAAGATCTACAACTTTTGTTTAGACTCCGTCGGCTAATTTTGATTTTATTTTTATTATATTTTTATTATATTATTTTTAGTAGGCCGGGAGAGGAAAACTCCGTTAGAAAATCATAACTCCTTCGTCTGACGTCTGTTTTCGTCTGTCTTTTCACCGTTGGACTACTATCGACGAGATCATCAATTCTCGTTTAGATTGTTTCGACTAAATATCTCTCGATCTCGTATTCGAACTTTGGGTTGTACACTGCTAAGCCGAAACTTCGAAAAATCATAACTTCCTCATACGAAGTCAGATTTCGGCGTTCTTTTTATGGACGCTCTCGGTTTAACGTATTCTACAACTTTTGTTTGGATTACTAAGGCCAAATATCGCTCCATCGTAAATTCACTATTCATGTCACGCTGTGTCGTGCCGGTTCTCTCGCGAACCTTCGACAGGTCATAACTTCTTCGTTATAACTCGGATTCCGGCGTTCTTTATATGTCCGGAATCCTTATCACGACCACTACAACTAGGTTAAGACTATTCATTCTTCATAATCTTCTAATAAAAAGTCATTTTTGACGCTTATCGTCTTTAAATTGACTAGCCCTGATCTACGGGCGTTACAGTATACCTCGATAAGAGCTTCCCACAATGCTTTAGCTGAAGTGTACTCTCTGAATCCTTGTGCAATATCTGGAGATAAAGCCATGGTTAAAGTAGCCAATGCTCGCTCCTGTTCTTCAACTTTTTCAAAATCCTCATCAATATAGTCAGCATACAACTTATCAACTTTTTGTCCATTTGGCAAAGTAGTAAGGATTCTGACTGGACCTTTAAGAATGCTTCTCCAAACTTTGAAATCCTTCATCTTAATGTACTTTTCAATCTTGTACTTCCATTCTGGGAACCCATCAGCAGACAGTAAGCGTGGAATTCGAGTTGTTGTTCCCATGATTGAATCTAATTCTTGATGAAGTGATGGGTTTTGAGAATCCATTTTTGTTTTGTTTTTGGTGGTTTTTTTTTAATTTTTAATTTTAAGAATGAAAATGACTTGAAAAAAAAAACAAACAAACAGAATATGGTTGACTTATGAGATTACGGTTGGTTGGATGCCTGGACCGTAAACAGTGTTTACGGTTGAGATTACGGTTTGAAGATTATGGTTTAGAGATTACGGTTTATGTTTTCGGTTGAATTCACGGTTGATGAAGATCTATTGATTACAGTTTATGAACAGAGTACACGGTTTGTGCAGATCTACAGTTTACGGTTGCAAAGAAAGTTCAAGGTTGATGAATTTGACCGAAAATGCTTGGTTTTTGATGAAACAAACACGAATCTGAAGCTAATCTGATCCTCCACGCAGTGAAAATAGCAAAAACGAGCCTTGAACACCACCACAACGAAATCACTTGGACCGTAAACACCACCAAAATTCGAATTGACACCGGTTTGGCTCTGATACCAATTGTAAGGGCCTGATTACTAGGAACCTAACTGATGATCAATCAAATATCAAGTAAACAATAAGAATTGAGTAGAAACAGATTGGATTCAAGCCTTGCACACATTACACTATTGAAAACTTCATGTACAAACTTGACCGCAAACAGCTAGAATAGCAACAACCTATTACAGACTAAGACAAGATCCTTATATAGTAAATAAGTCATGACCGTAAACTAGTTTACGGTCATGACCGTAAGCAAGACAGTAAACATGTTCACGGTCAGCCAGACCGTAAACGCACAAGTGAACCGTAAACACAAGAATAGACCACAAACACATGAAAACAAAAAACCAAAGCTATTATAAGAGATATCCTAGCCCAAACCATAACCAGGACCCTTCAGTGATGGCTGTCAAAATATAGTTAAGAACACTCTCATATATGTGGTAATTGGTGAGTAAGGATTGCTTAGAATTGTAGAATAATTGTCTTTCTATTGTCTCTTTGGTATCTTCGTTCATGATTTCTTTTGCTCCAATTCTCATAGATTCTTGTGTGATGTTTTTCTATAAAAAGACCATAATTTTAACCCTCCAAAAGGTCTTCAAAACAGTCCTTTAAGGTTTCATATGTGGCTTAATGGTGGAGGAAACTCAAGCCCTTAATGGTGTTTTTTCTTTTAGCAATGTTTGAATCTGCAAGAAGTATTATGAGTTGGCTTGGTGATTGTGCAAAGGTATAAATTTTATATTTTTATAAGATAAGATTAATACGTTTATTGATTTTATAAATTTTGACAGGTTATAGCAGTGAAAAACAATCCAGTACAATGGACAACTCGTCTTGGACTTCCTGTTGTTCAACCATACCGCAAATTAGGAAGACATCTTGTGAGTTCTTTTAGTATGTCAAATTGTCAAGTAAAGTCCTTGTATTTTGACTTTTTTGCTAATATGAACCAAGATATTTTTGTTGTTTTTTTGAAATGTGTAGATTAAGACATCGCTTCAAGTTTTGACACTACAACGAGAAACCGATAAGGTTATATCTGCAACCTTTTCTTTATTATGCTAAATGCAAGAAAAATAACTTTTTTTGTTGGTTATAAAAGGTGATGGTGAAAAGAATAAAAACAACCTTTCCTCCTAACTTTGTCCACTCTCTTGATAGGTCCCATATGATGATGATAGCCATTGCTTGTAAAGAGGCTGGCTTAAGTTTTGCAGGTTCAAAATTATTATTATTTCATATATTTTATTTCTCCATTTTTTTTCATTAAAAATATATAAATTAAAATCTCATTCAACTCTACGTGATTCAGCCATGAAAAACCCTAATTCTACTCTCCTTAGAAGTAAATGGAGTTCTATTCCAATACCCCATAGAACTATCCTTGAACCTAAAGGTCAAGATCTTGATTACATCAACATAGCTCACAGTCATCTTCTTCACTCTGATTCGGCTTAGCTAGATAAATTATTAACCAAATCTAATTCATTATGAGTGAAGCACATTGTGTTAAAGCTTCAAAACGACTACGTCATTTCACTAAAATTCTTCAAATGGATTGAGCTTCACAACCCTAGTTTACTCACCCTCGAAACAAATTCCATCATCCTCCACATCCTCACCAAGAATCGTAAATCTGTGTCAGCTGAATCCATTTTAAAGAAGATCATCGGTTATTGTTCTTGTGATGTAAACCTCCATTCTATTCTCTTCAATGCTGTTCTTCACTCTTATCGAATGTGTGATTCCACTCCTCGTGTTTTGGATTCCCTTTTCAAAATGTATGCATAGATGAAACAGTTCAGGAATGCAACATATACATTTTGTTGTATGAAGGAATACAGATTTCTTCCCACCATTGAATCATGTAACATGTATATGAGTTCACTGCTTAGTTTCAATCGAGCAGACATCGCGTTACCGTTTTACAACCAAATGAGAAGATCCAAGATCACAATCAATGTGTTCACTCTCAACATGGTGATGAATGATTATGTTCAATTAGGGAAACTAGAGAATGCAGTCCAAGTGTTCGATGAAATGCAAGGTATGGGAATGAAACCTTTTGTCTCCTCGTACAATACATTGATCACTACATACATCAACCAAGGCCTTTTAACAACCGCAATCAAGTTGAAACTTACAATTGATAAGAATAGAATCAGCCCGAATGCCATAACATACAACACAATAATCCATGGATTCTATAAAGAAGGGAAACTACATGATGCTTTTAAAGTTTTCCATGAAATGTAAAGGGTAAATGTGGATCCTAATACTTTAACTTACAACACATTAATCACTGCATGTTCCCAATCAGGTAAAATCGAAAAGGGTAATCAGATTTTTGAAGAAATGATAAGAACCGGGGTCAAACCTGATATTTTGCTTATAATGCATTGTTGTTGGGACTTTGTAACAAAGGAAAAACCAAGAAAGCTGCTTATTTGGTTAAAGAACATGCTAAAAAGAAATTAGTACCAAATTCTTCAACATTTTCTGCCCTAATTAAAGCCCAATGTGCTCGAAAGAACCCAGATCGTGGTTTTCAACTTTATAAAAGCATGGTGAAAAGTAATTGTCGTCCAAACGAAGATACTGTGAAGATGTTGATTTTATCATTCTTGCAAACGGATGATTATGATGGTGCTTTTGGTGTTTTTAAAGAGATGTTAGAGAGGCCTATTGGGCCTGATTTGGTTGTTTTGAGTGGGTTGTGTAAAGGGTTTTCAAAAGCTTGGAAAGATAGATTGGTTATGGATCTATTAAGCGAGGTTGATAATTGGTGTTTTAGTTATGAACGTTATGAGAAAGTTAAAAGCATTATTTGTGACTCTAACAATGAAGGTAAAGAACTTGAAGAAAATGTGTAAGTTGATTTATTTAATCATGACAAAAATGAATCTGAATACAGAATGTGTGTGGGAGCAAATAATGCGTTATACTTCATAATGTATATTCAATAAAGCTTTAAAAGTTTTTGATTTATATCAAATTAAACTATGATATTTGTGCTATCTATATCTATACATCTATACATATATATATGTATATATATATCCTACATCTATACATCTATACAATTATATAAAGCATATTGCTTCTTTCTTGAATTTTTAAGAGGCATAAGGTTCACTTCTTTATGTACACATCAACTTTGTATATAAACTACTATGTGGCCATGATCCTTAAAGTAATCACTCCAATCTATATAGCTTGCTAAGCTTAACTCTATAAATAGTTTTGAAGTAGCAGAAATAAAGATTGTGTAAGTAGCAATTGACTTTTTTATTATTTTATTTTCAAAAGTTTATGTTTATATTCTACCATATACACAAAGTACAATGCTATTTATGGTTACGTCTGTTTTGGATACGAAAGAGAAATGGGTCTTGAAGGTTGTGCAATCATGGTTGTAGTTTTCTTGGTCTTGATAGATTTGTACTCTATATATTAAAGATAACAATATTTTCAAATTTTAGTTTTAGTTCACAATAAATTATTAGTTTTATCGAAATTGGTAGTTATTACTTGTATAATCTTGATGTATGAACTATATGTGTTGTTTGATTTGGATCACACCCCATTTTGAACACATATGTGCTCTTTTATTTATATGTGTTATTGTGAGGAGGTTTAAAAACTATATTAGTTAATTATTTGAGACTTGAGAGCTCTTAGCTGTTGAGGATATTGATAGTTAAAGAATTAGTAACTTCAATTTTGTAATCTTTCATGCATTTGGTTCATAGAAAATTGAATAATTGAATGTAATTTAATTTGTTCAATGTTTCTAACTATATAAAATTATGTATTTATTTTGTTTGGGTAGATGGACTTCCATTTATCCTTTCATTTTATAGATTTAGAAGAAATGTTGGCTTAGAAATTAAATATTAAATATCTTTGATCTTTTTTTTGAAACAACAATAAAATCTTTGTTGATGTTTGGATTGATTGTGATAAATAAATAATAAGATTAGAATTTATTAATAGATAAAAGATATAGCATTTTAATTACTTTTCATTTTTAATTATTTTTTTGTCAATGAAAAAAAATAACAAGGTAAATATTTTGTGGAACACCTTTGCTAATTTTATTAAAAGAGTCAATTTAAGCTTTATAAAAATAAATGATATCTATCGATGGGTAGAGATCCTTACACGGTAACTTTTCCTTATAGACAAATATTTATGTTTTATTAAGTTGTGTAATACAAATATTTAAAACGTAAATACCAATATTTAAAACATAAATAGTTATATACAAATCACTCTTTATCTATCCTTTATATATCTTTTTAGTTGGTTAGCGGTAATTTTTTCTTTTGTAATGTGTTATCGACTTTTCATTCAACTGATTTCAACATACAACTGAATACAAATGCACCATAATCACTATTAGTTATCGGCGTTTTTATCTAAATGACTAATGTCTAAGAATAAAAAAACTTAAAGCGTTATATAAATTGAAATTGAAGTATAAATATAATGTACATATAAAAATCAATATTCACAATAATGACTACTATTAATTTATATGATTTTTGAAAAACTGACTGTCATTTTTATTAACTTAGAAAATAATTTCAAAAGCATAAACCACAAAAAAAAAAATTTAAATAACTAGATTATTTTTAATTGCTTATACTTTCCTATTTTTTATAATTTCAAAATACTAGTCATTTTTGTATTCTCTTATCATGGGTGGTCAGAAGACTATAATAGGTTTTCTGTCAACGTTATTTTTATTGTCAAATTGAGCACCCCTAAATATAAAACAATTGTATATAGTTTGTGAAGTAATGAAGGGGGCTAAATTGGCATTAAAAGAAACTTAATTTGTGAAGGTATCTAAGGTTAGGAAAGATAGGATAAAGTTCAATGTCTAAGGACAAATCCTTAAAAATTCGTCCATAACCCCCCCCCCCCCTCCCCCCCCCCCCCCGCCCAACAAGAAAAAGTTCAAAGCCTAGGACCAAATTGGCATTACAAGAAACTTAATTTGTGAAGATACCTCCAAAAGTTTTTTTCCGACTGTTTTAGCCTTTACGCACGGATTAATGGAGTAATCTCAAAATCAATCCTTTGCATCGCTCGACATCATCATAGGAAAAAAAAGGCGAGGTAGGGTGCAGAAGGGAAAAAAGAACTGAGAAGAGAGGGGGGAAAGAAGGGTCTACAAGTGTCGGTTCTTGAAGGTGTGTTAAGGCTGCAAAACCGACTCATATAATCCGGTAGTTCTTTGCTTTAACTCGTCTTTTGATTTCATTTTTCAATTGCTAGTGATTGGATTCAAGCAATCTCATTCTTCTTACTTCCAATCTTTGATATGTTATGTGATTAATCCCTAGCCACGTTTTGTGTGTTTTTGATGGGTGATGGCTGTCAAAATATAGTTAAGAACACTCTCATATATTTGGTAATTGGTGAGTAAGGATTGGTTAGAATTGTAGAATAATTGTCTTTCTATTTTCTCTTTGGTATCTTCGTTCATGATTTCTTTTGCTCCAATTCTCATACATTCTTGTGTAATGTTTTTCTATAAAAAGACCATGTTTTGAACCCTCCAAAAGATCTTCAAAACAGTCCTTTAAGGTTTCATATGTGGCTTAATGGTAGAGGAAACTCAAGCCCTTAATGGTGTTTTTTCTTTTAGCAATGTTTGAATCTGCAAGAAGTATTATGAGTTGTCTTGGTGATTGTGCAAAGGTATAAATTTTATATTTTTATAAGATAAGATTAATACGTTTGTTGATTTTATAAATTTTGACAGGTTATAGCAATGAAAAACAATCCAGTACAATGGATAACTCCTCTTGGACATCCTGTTGTTCAACCATACCGCAAATTAGGAAGACATCTTGTGAGTTCTTTTAGTATGTCAAATTGTCAAGTAAAGTCCATGTATTTTGGCTTTTTTGCTAATATGAACCTAAACATTTTTGTTGTTTTTTTTAAATATGTAGATTAAGACATCTCTTCAAGTTTTGACACCACAACAAGAAATCGTTAAGGTTATACCTGCAACCTTTTCTTTATTATGCTAAATGCAAGAAAAATAACTTTTTTTTGGTTATAAAAGGTGATGGTGAAAAGACAAAGAACAACCTTTCCTCCTAACTTTGTCCACTCTCTGGATGGGTCCCACATGATGATGACAACCATTGCTTGTAAAGAGGCTGGCTTAAGTTTTGCAGGTTCAAAATCATTATTATTTCATATATTTTATTTCTCCGTTTTTTTTCCATTAAAAATATATATATTAAAAACCCATTTCAACTCTGCTTGATTCAGCCATGAAAAACCCTAATTCTTCTCTCCTTAGAAGTAAATGGAGTCCTATTCCAATACCCCATAGAAGTACCGTTGAACCCAAAGGTCAAGATCTTGATTACATCAACATAGCTCACAGTCATCTTCTTCACTCTGATTGGGCTAAGCTAGATAAGATATTAACCAAATCTAATTCATTATGAGTGAAGCACATCCTGTTAAAGCTTCAAAACAGCTACGTCATTTCCCTAAAATTATTCAAATGGATTGAGCTTCACAACCCTAGTTTACTCACCCTCGAAACAAATTCCATCATCATCCACATTCTCACCAAGAATCGTAAATTTGTGTTGGCTGAATCCATTTTAAAGAAGATCATCGGTTCTTGTTCTTGTGATGTAAACCTCCATTCTAAGCTCTTCGATGCTGTTCTTCACTCTTATCGAATGTGTGATTCCACTCCTCGTGTTTTCGATGCCCTTTTCAAAATGTATGCACAGATGAAGCAGTTCAGGAATGCAACAGATACATTTTGTCGTATGAAGGAATATGGATTTCTTTCCACCATTGAATCATGTAACATGAATATGAGTTCACTGCTTAGTTTCAATCGAGCAGACATCGCGTTACCGTTTTACAACCAACTGAGAATATCCAAGATCACAATCAATGTGTTCACTCTCAACATGGTGATGAATGCTTATGTTCAATTAGGGAAACTAGAGAATGCAGTCCAAGTGTTCGATGAAATGCAAGGTATGGGAATGAAACCTTTTGTCTCCTCGTACAATACATGGATCACTACATACATCAACCAAGGCCTTTTAACAACCGCAATCAAGTTGAAACTTACAATGGAGAAGAATGGAATCAGCCCAAATGCCATAACTTACAACACAATAATCCATGGATTTTGTAAAGAAGGGAAACTACATGATGCTTTTAAAGTTTTGCATGAAATGAAAAGGGTAAATGTGGATCCTAATACTATAACTTACAACACATTAATCACTGCATGTTCCCAATCAGGTAAAATCGAAAAGGGTAATCAGATATTTGAAGAAATGATAAGAACCGGGGTCAAACCTGATATTTTGACTTATAACGCATTGTTGTTGGGACTTTGTAACGAAGGAAAAACAAAGAAAGCTGCTTATTTGGTTAAAGAACTTGATAAAAAGAAATTAGTACCAAATTCTTCAACATTTTCTTCCCTAATTAAAGCCCAATGTGCTCGAAAGTACCCAGATCGTGGTTTTCAACTTTATAAAATCATGGTGAAAAGCAATTGTCGTCCAAATGAAGATACTGTGAAGATGTTGATTTTATCATTCTTGCAAACGGATGATTATGATGGTGCTTTTGGTGTTTTTAAATAGATGTTAGAGAGGCCAATTGGGCCTGATTTAGTTGTTTTGAGTGGGCTGTGTAAAGAGTTTTCAAAAGCTTGGAAAGATAGATTGGTTATTATAGTTGAACTGTAACGAGTAATCGAATAAAGATCCGAGTAATACAAGCTAAGATAAGAACACAAGAAGTAAATATAATCTGGTTTCAGCTCTATTACTCTCAATGAACAAAGAGTACAAAAGTAGACAACGTAATGGGAAAACTCGTATGTCTAATTCTAAGTTCAGATCCTATTTATAGGAGACTGAGAGTACAAAAAATACTTAGTAAATAACATTACATACGAAATATTACAATGACATTTCGACTCTTTACAAGACTTTGACCCTAACAATCTCCCACTTTGTAAACGAGTCGAACTACTCAGTTCGTGAGAATCTGAGCAGCGAAGTGCATCATCCTTCGAATTTCAGAATACCCAGTTAATACCTTCTTTAACTCGGCTTTGTCTCCATTATTGTTCTTGGTACAACTATTCATACAAACAATAAAGTTCGTATATTGTGAAGTTGTGTATCTTTCAATTTCAGCAACTTGGAATAAAAATCTCTTAGCCTTCACCTTCGTGTCTTTTCCAGCAAATACCATTCTAAAAGGCTTCAGACATATTTCACCATCAGCATATTTCTTCAATTCTGGTTGAGGCTTTATAGGTTTCATTGCAACCATTACTTTTCTTCCTAAACCCGAAGCGAACTCTTCGTCTGTCAGAGCAAGACAATCATAGTAGTTATCTATAAAAATCTTAATGTCAGCAAGACCAAGTCTGAACACATCCTTGTCTGTACCCTTGAGTTGAGAAGCTTCCATATCCTTCAGAATTAATGAAACTTGAATCAAGTCATTCAAGTTCATCAGAGGAAAGTCAACCACACTGAAATCAGCAGGTTGGTTGTTTGCTCGAATCACATGGAATCTGAAGTTTTGTAACATATTTTCAAACATCACATCTTTCTTGATAGCAACAACTTTCTTTATCTTGACAAGTGACCACACCTCTTCGGGTTCCTTTCCAAGTACAACATGAAATCGAATCTTCATGTGTGTGTGTAGTCATCTGGGTTTTCGAACTTTTCACTTATCTTGTACTGAGCAGTTATGAACATCATCTCATTTAACGGAAAGTCGAGCAGGTTCATATCAGTATTGGCAATGGAGTAACTCTTCTTTGGCTTCTTTTCAAAGGCATGCATATGGTTAAATGCAACCCTTGATTCGATAGTTTCATAACAGTAGAGCTTCTTCGGGTCTCCCTTTTCCATACCTGGTGGATCACTTTCCCTTAGCCTTAAAATGCTTTGAATATGCCTTTGTAACTCAATCTCAGCTTCGACTTCAGCCTTTTTCTCTTCCTTTGTCTTTTCGACAGCTACCCCCTTTCCTTTACCTTCAGCAACAGGATTCGGTTTCGATGAACTCGAACTTCCCCCTTAATTTGATGAACCAATAACAATTCCGTTGGCAATAGGTCTTGCTATTGGTTTTGTGGTTACAACAGTTGTTGTAATAGGATTGATCTTGATAGGTAGAGAAGTTGGAATTTGCGAAGTCAATACTGTCACACCCCCAAACCAGACGACGGAAACGTCCGGGGGTGGAGGACTTCATTTGTAGTATCACAACACATGCATCATAGTAATCAAAGTACAAACAACCATTGTATTTAAAAGTGAAAATATTTACATGTGTTCAATCATTGTATATTGACACCAAAACATTTATAGTAAAATACAAAAGATATGACTCAAGATAGCTCCATCTTCTCAAAAAGCTTGGGGAGTACCTGCTTATTATTTCCCTGAGAATACAAGTAATTTGAAAAGAGAGTATCAACATAAAGTTGAGTGAGTGCATAAGTGGTTATGTTTGAAAGTATGTTTTCTGTTACTTGAATATGTAAGTTGCTCCAGAAAATCCTATATTTTCTTTTTATTTGAAAAGAAGTTTTAATGTCATAAAACCGCTCTGTTTGTAAATCTCTGTTCTGTATTTGTATCCTTTTGGTAACACTTGTAAACCGTATCTCTGTAAACTTGTACTTTGAAAAGTGTAATTATGTGTTAATTATACACTAACATATTTTTAATATCTTTTTAATGAGTTATTATAACCATACTATGACTGGATGGCCTGAAACAAACGCTTGAAAGTCATTTAAAAATGGTTGATAACAATTGTCACTCGTAGGCGTGTATGCCTAACTGTAGCTAGTAGCCTGATTGCGGGGTTGTCAATCCCAATATAGATCTGCACACAACTTGTTTCGATCCCCTGGCTGGAGACTCTGGTTATAATATCGGTTATAATATCAGGACCTTAACTATGTTCTTAAAATAAATAAACAACCTGAATCGGATGACTCATAAAAAGCATATAGATGTTATGTGTATAAAGAAAACCCAATCATTCTGAAATAAATAATTGATAGTATTTTCCTTGTTAAATATACTTGAAAGTTGTATACCCTTGTTTAGTTTTGAATCAAACTCTTGTTCTTGTATAATAGTATAAACCATGTTTTTGTAATATAGTGTACTCTAGTATACTTGACTTGTGAGTTAGTATTCTTGAATCATAAATTATACCTACTATAATTTATATGTACTTTCTGAATTGATAAAAACTATTCTTGAATATAATCCTTTGCTCAACATGTTACAAAGGGTAATTAAATTAAATGAAATGACTTTTATATTTATATACATATACAATTTTATATAAGTAAAATTTAAACGACACTCGGACAAATAACCGATATTATAAGTCCACATCCAAACAAGGAAAAGGACTCCAAATAAGTTATTAGTCCTATGTCTTTTACATCTTTTATATATATATATATATATATATATATATATATATATATATATAATATATATATATATATATATATATATATATAGATATATATATATAACCTTTAGAGAAAAATATAAGTTATTAAAGGAGTTTAATATTTTTGAGTATTTTTGATGACTTAATGTCATTTTATTTTGATTTGTAATCATTTATATATAACACAAAAATTAATGTATTTAAACTTGTTTCCCCCCCCCCCCCCTCCCCCCTTAAAACAGTAAAAATTATGAAAATACGAGGGTATGAACTCACTTGATAAGTGGTGATTTGGACAATGTTTTCTTTCCCAGAAATGAGTTTATTTGAGGAAGAACCGGCTTAAATTGGGCAGAGTTTTGACTGGAAAAGATTGATATTCTCAGGAATATCGACGCTTCGGGGTTGCTCGGGGTCTTAGATATGCTTCGGGGGCCTTGGGGGCTGTAGGTAAGCTTATGGGAGTGAGAGAGCTGAAAAAGATGGAAAAAGTGAAGAAAAATGGCTTAAAATATGAGAAGTCTCGCACCTTTTATATAGGGGCCAAAGCTTCGGATGCCGTCTTAGAAGACGTCTCAGACATCGCCTCGGACGCGAGGCACGTCGGAAGTTAAGTGGGCCGCGACTTCGGTCGAATCAGAAGCAGCCATGCGGCGGATCTGCGAGAGGGAGCTGGACACGCGTTGGATAAGGCGTCTTAGGAGCCGTCTTAGACGTCGCCTACGATGCCAGGCGTGTTGGAAGTTGGATGGACCTCGCTTCGGTCCAATCAGAAGAGGGCACGTGTCCGGTACTGTTCATGCGAGATTATCCGGCATTTTTCCTTTTTTTTTTTTTTTAATTCAAAATCTTCCGAAATTCATAACTTTCACATACGAACTCCGTTTTTGACGTTCTTAATATGCACGCTTAGGCGGAAAAATAATCTACAACTTTCGTTTAGACTTCGTCGGCTATTTTGACTTTATTTTTAATATTATTACTTTTAACAGACCGGGACAGGAAAATCCGTTAAAAATTCATAACTTCTTCATCCGACGTCCGTTTTCGTCAGACTTTTTACCGTTGCACTAGTATTAATGAGACCTTAGATTCTCGTTTAGGTTGTTTCAGCTAAATCTCGCTCGATCTTTATTTCGAGTTTTTAGCTGTCTACCGCTATTCCGAAACTTAGAAAAATCATAACTTCTTCATACGAAGTCAGATTCAAACGTTCCATATATGAAAGTTCGTTATTTTTGCAAGTTCTAACAACTTTCATCTAGGTCATTAAGGCTAAAAAGTAGTTTATCAAAAACTCACTTTTTATGCGAAATAGCGTTTGCCGGATTTGTCACGGATCTTCGATTGGTCATAACTTCTTCGTTATAACTCGGATTTGGGAGTTCTATATATTTTTGGAATTCTTGTTAAAATCTCTATCACTTGGTTCATCCCAATTGAGATTATTTAATACTTTATTTTTTAGGGTCAATTATGTAAATATACACAATATGCTAAAATTTCTCTTTAATATTTCAAAAAGAACTACAAATTGACCTATATTATTACATAGGTTCGAAATAACGGTTTGTTACATTATCCCCCCATTAGAGGGAATTTCGTCCCGAAATTAGTATTACAAATAGACTCTGTGGATATTTCTGTTGCATTTGATCCTCCCGCTCCCAAGTGAATTCAGGTCCCTGTTTTGCATTCCAACGAACGTTCACTATCGGGATACGGCTTTGTTTGGTTTTCTTAACTTCCCTGTCTAGAATCTCCACGGGTTCTTCCACAAAGTTTAGGCTCTCGTTTAACTCGATTTCCTCGAGTGGGATTACAAGAGTCTCGTCAAATAAACACTTTATCAAGTTCGAAATGTGGAAGGTAGGATGAATGTTACCTAGTTCTTGGGGTAATCGAAGTTTGTAAGCTACAGGACCGATTCTAGCAAGAATCTCGAATGGTCCTATGTACCTTGGATTCAGTTTGTCACGCTTTTCAAAGCGTATCATGCCCTTCCAGGGTGAGACCTTTAACAAGACACGGTCACCAACCTGGAATTCCAAGGGTTTTCTCCTTTTGTCAGCGTAGCTTTTCTGCCTATCTCTTAAAGCTTTAAGTCGCTCTCGAATTTGTACAATTTTCTCTG